TAAAAATAGTACGGTGATCTCATAGCGAGTCTAATGATCTGTTTCTTGTAAAATCGTTTCTTTTGCACATTCACTTACTGCGGTTGTATTTACTGTACCCGCATTTTATTATAAAAAGGCACTGTCACTTCGAAGAGGCGAGAACCACCGGCAATAAGGGAAGCGAATAGAAAGGGGAACAAGAACGAGGAAGAAGGAGGGATGAGACGATCTGGTAAAAAAGTACGTGGAAAAAAAGCTGCCTTGCCGTCGGTTAGGCAATGAATACTAACGCACAAGGTATACAACTCGGGAGCAAAGGGCCTTGAATAGCTGCGCCCAGCGTCTGAGAGCATCCTGGTAAGATTACCACCATCAGGTACCTAAATCGATTGTCCGGAAGTACTGGTACTCATGATATAATTTGATATTTACGGAGCACTAGCACCACTTCTGCTCCTTTGTCCCCTCTATCTCCCGTCTTCCCACCTCCTGCTTTCTCCTTCTCCCATAGATTTTTTATGAAAGGAAAAAATCTCAGTTTTGGAAGATCGGATCCAGCAAAACTTATAAATCTTCGTAGCTGAAGTGGCTTCTGGACAACAGAGCACCAACAGTTCCACATGTGAGATTCAGTTCTCTTCTTCCCTTAACTTCGAAGTTGCAGTGTTGCTCACCATTATTTCAGTGCAATATTCCTTGTGAAACTTAAGAATTTTCTAATCCATTGTCGCTTCAGAATCGTTATTTTTAGGCCAGGCAGAAGTATTTTTAAGTACATGCGCTTCTATATTCCCGGATCTGGTAAAGGTATTCCATACAAGGGAGGCGGAGGTGAACTCTAAAATCATCCACATGGCATGGAAAAATGTGAAAAAACGAATGATGGGTCAAAAAGATTAGCCAGTGGTTAAAGATGACCAACAGGCGCAAAAATTTTTCAGAAAAAGTAGCTTAGAAACACAAGCGTCAGCTTTACTGAAGAGCGCTGTAGTGAATTGTACCTAAAAACTAAACAAGTGGTTAAGTATTCACTTGAAAAGCACTGTTGTGAGCATATTACGTGTTTCCGAACGCTCATTTTTTATGATTCTTTTTATACATGTTTCCACTTATCATGAGAAGGCACCTTTCCATTTATCATGATTTCAAGCGATTTTACTGATAATGTTGATTAGCTTATTTCATTGTTAAAAAAGTTGCAGATGTACAACTATCCGGTGTCGAATAAATATTGTTACAAAGCTCTGCTGCTCCAAAAATGCCAAAAGCACCTGGAAAATCAATGTGGATGTTTCATGTTAGTGATGTCGTCGGAAAACCACTGTGGGGTTGGTCCCCCTCATTCGCTAGGAAATTTTTTCGATGAAGGATAAATACTCCGTACGACGGCAAGAGGCTTATTGTTTCTCACACCTTGCCGGGGAATGTTATAATATAATAAAAGTGCTAATTTATTCAAAAAAAGATCTATCGCAGGCATTTGCCTTCCCTCATCCCTCTCCCACTTGCTTCATCTTTGCTCTCTATGGCTCGCGTGGATGGCAGTTTAATTGCGTCACTCATACTGCTGCATTAAAATATGTGACAAGGAAGCATACATGCAATTATTGTAGTAAAATATTTCCTGATGTCCCATGGCTGAAGACTCATTTGAGAAAGCACATTGGCAAGAGGCCATCAACTACGAGCAGTGCGGTAAAAAGCTCGAAGCAGTGGGAATTTTAGGAGTCATTACAAAGTCACTGCAAAGGAATTAAGAAGTCATTACTGTACAAAAGCCATTCAAATACGTTTACTGCAATTCGAGCTTCACGTGAAAAAGTGATTTGGAAGAGTACATGCGAACTCATATTCGCGAAACGCCACACGACTGACTGCATGCGATGGGGCAAAATACTTTGTCGACTTCACTGCCGAAATGTTTAATTTTTTGGCGCGTACCAGAGCTGCCGACATGGCCGTACATTTTCACCTAGTTTCGTGAAGCAATAAGATAGTAAATTGTATGAATGGCCGCTGCTTTACAGTTTAATATCATGTTCAAATTGTTCTAAGGGTTTCTTTTTTTCTTTATCCATTTTTGTCTAAAACTATCTGGTATTCCTTAAAATATGTTTTTTTTTTCTTTTCCCAGTAAATTCAATTTGACATCTCCGAAGATGCGGCGCTTTCACATTTCAGCACTTATCAAAAAAATTGGCCAACGCACGGGCTGCCCGTGCGAAGATGCGTTTTTTGCAGAGTTCCCCGC